TCTTTCGGTCTGAATTTCGGAAACAGTTTGTCACATTTTGAGAGATTGACCACGTGTGTTGATGGGAATGAGTTGCTGCTTTGTCTAGGGATCACTCTGTGGACCTGTCGGGAGCATGACCTTCTTGTCCTGCTAGCGACGGCTTCCAGCCGGTGTCCGCGTGCCGGGCGGTCTCCCCCGCAGTCCCCTCGGCTCCAGGGGTCCATGCGGCCACCGTGAGCGGGGTCTGTCTGAGATGCTTGCCGCCGTGTTCTTGCTCCTGCTCCTGGCTTGTGGGTGTGCTCAGGTGGGGCTCGGCGACGAGATGCTCCCGTTTGTTCTAACAGTTCTTGAGTTGATTCTCTCGGGGGTTCTGGGCGTGCTGGCCACACGCCAGGAGACGCGTGCATTTCTTTTCAGCCTTCGTTCTTCTGGCTCTTGTCTTTGTCCCCTGGGCTGGCTCCTGTCGTACCAGGCAGACTGGCATCCCAGGCCACAGGCACCATGTTGGCCTCGATTGCTGGAAGGTTCCTTTTATTGTTGTTAATTAAGGTGGGGGTGTGTTTTCCTCTGTGGAACGTATCCGTGGGTTTTGGATCTTAACAAATATTTTTTTGGACCTGCCAATGAGATCCAGATGGACTGTGTCCTTGAATTTCTCAGCATAACAAAGTACGTTGCACGTTTTTTTAGGTAAACTGAATTTGGTTTTGGTTGTGCGACATTAACAGCTCCTGGATCCCATCATGAACAGTCGATTCAGGCTGTTTGTACAGCGGGTCTTAAGGGAGATGGGCTGATGCCAACGTTGGTCCCGTGCGAGTGTGACTTCAGCGACAGGTTGGGGCCAACCCCGATGGAGGAGCAGAGAAGCTTCCATTGCCTTCTGGGCTCTGGAGCCGTCTGACTGAGGGAGCAGAAACAGCACGTAAGACCGTTAGGTCCTGGTGCCTTTGGTGGGAGGAGCAGGTCTTTGACCCTTTACCTTCCCGTGGTCCTGCTGACGGCCCCTTGAGCACCAGGGGGGCCAGTGCAAGCAGGATGGAGAAGCAGGACTTCCTGGCTCTCGGGGCTGCCCCTCGCCACCCAAAGGCAGCAAGCACGTCCACTGGTAGCAGGAGGCTCCGGCATCAGGCCAGCCTGGCTTCTCTCCCCCGTGGCCTATTCCTGAGCTTCAGGTCCTTGGGCTCCGTGAGCCCATGGGTCCTCACCTCAGAGGAGAGGTGCTATGAGTCCTGGCTCTGTGCTCTTTGTTTCCGGGACTCCATGCCACCCCGCTGGGCTGCCGAGGCTCTCCTCCCGCAGGGTTGGGGGTTTGGGGAGCGGGAAAGTGCACGCACGGAACTCACTGTGTGTCGGCTGTATGCATCCTTTCCTGTCCTCGGCCTCTCTGCCTGGGGTCAGCATCACAAATCCCAGCTCCCCAGAGGGGCCTCCAGCTGACCTGGAAATGGCAGGATGGGGTGTTGGCCACCCCAGGAACCTGACGCTTGGCATTGGAACCTTTATCCATGGGAACTTGGCCAGACGCTGCCCAGCCAGCCTGGAATTAGACACTGATGCAGATGAAGCCGTCCTGTGCCAGGGTTACACCGTATGTGTCACACTCACCTCCTTTTTACCCCTTTACAACCAGCCTGGGAGGATGGAGGCACTCTTACTTATAGATGAGGAAGCTGCAGCTCAGAGAGGGGCAGTGACTCCACTGGGGCTACCCAGCATGAACTGAGGGGACAGGCCTGAGCCTTGCTCGAGCCCTCTGATCCCTCTGCTGCTGCCTGGGCCTCATGCTTGGTGCCCACGGGCCCTGAGAGTCTCCAGGAGGAGCAGGGACGTCCCCCACTCTACCCTGGCTCCAAGGGTTGGCAGGTCCCACAGAGGGGGCTCCCGGGCTTGTCCTGAGGGCATGTGAGGGCTGGGGAGATGGGAGACTTCCTTGGGCCGCCAGAGCACACGGTGCTTGTAGAAATCAGCGGTCCTCTGGTGCGGCCACATCACAGGAGATATAAAGACAGCGGGCACAGTCGCGGACTTCCCAGGCTTCCTCCCCAGGCCCCTCAGGTCAGGCGGGGAAAAGGGAGCAGGAAGGGGGCAGTGGACACTGTGTCTGGGCAGCCAAGCCAGGGTCCTGTCCCTGCCCCACCCAGACCACCTCAGCCGCGGCAGGGATGGGACAGCATGCCTCCCGGGTGCCCAGAAGCTCTCAGGGACACGTGCCTTAGGGCTTGGGGAGAGATCTCTACCAGACCCCAGTGCCTCAGGGAGCATGGCTCAGCCATGGGCCACTTTCCAGGAGACCCCGGGGGCCCCAGTCCTCAGCTAGCACAACAAACAGTCCTGGGCTTTCAGCTCTGCTGGAGGAACAAGGCAGGGTGCCAGGAGGCCTGTGGGGTGCCCGTGTACTGACTCCAGTGTCCTGTGTCCCAGCGGCACCATCAGGGATGAAGGCAACACAGCCTTACCCACCCCAGGAGTGGGAGGCCAGGCCTGCCAGCTCCTGGTGCGCTTCCTGCCCCCACCCCCACCCCCACGCAGCGGAGTTTCCCCCCCCTCTGAACTCTTCAGCGGACCCTGCAGGTCTGGGCCTTGAGGTTAGGAGAGACGGAGGACCCAAGGCAGCTCAAGCCTGGGAAGGAATCAGGGGCAGCCCTGCCCGGGGAGCTGGCAGTCTCTCGGGGTTCTGCCACTGAAGGAGGCTTTCAGCAAGAGAGGAGCCAAACAGAGAAATTACAGCCCCCAGGCTCTGCCCTCCTGCCCGCCTGCACCTCCCCACAGCCCAGCCAGCGCGTGACCAAGGAAAAACACGCAGCCACACTGATGCAATTAGGAAAATGTTGTTTTTCAAACATTGCCAGATCCTCGGGGTTGACCTTGTAACCTGGGAAAATAGCGTGCGGGCGTGTCGGGCCTGCGCCTGCAACTTGCAGCTTTGGCCTGAGAGTGCTCCGAGTCCTTGAGCAGCTCTGAGGCCTGTGGGATGGGGGTGCCGAGACCCCCCTGTTGCGTGTTCAGGGCACAGGGAGTGTGGGATGAGCACTTGCTGGGGGCTCAGGGAATGTGCCTGACCCTCTGGGTTTGAGGAAGGAGAGGAGGGATTCTAGGCGCCCGCCTGCCTGCCTGAGAGGATCTTGTGCTCCAGGTGAGTGCCCCCCAACCCTGCAGCCGCTCCCAGCCTCTGGGCACAGCCTGCCCTCAATTTTCCAGCTCGGGGAACAGAGTGTGGTCAGCAGACTCCTGTGCCTGCCTGGAGGCCAAGTCCAGCTCCTGCGTCCTCCTGCCACCCTCCTGCCAGCCCAGCTTTAGACTGGGGAACAGGGCTGCTAAAGTGGAGGGCACTGTCCCCAGCTCCTTCTGCTCTCCCTGGAGCAGCTTAGAAGGGGCCCAGGGTCCAGGAGGCCCAGCCCAGGGCCCCCCTACTCTAGAGAATCAGAGCTGTGGTGTGGCCCTCCTCGGGGTCTTCGCTCTTACAGGAGCCTGGGGAGGGTGAGCCCAGCAGGTAGAGGCTGCAAGGGAAGGATTCCTGCTTTCTCCCAAACACCCCACCACGGGCTGTCTGGGAAGCAACACCAAGGGGTGACCTGGGACTGGACTGCCCTGGAAGGTCTGCCAATGCCAAAGGACCGGGAGTCCAGGGTGAGGTTGGGAGCCTGGGTCCCTGTTTGCACATCTGTGCCACGGAGGCATCCCATTAAGAGATGCACAGCTGTCCTGCTGGGCCAGGAGCCACTGAGCTGTTCTGAGGTTATGGGCTCAAGGGGTGGTTAGTGACCCTCTCGCCTGGAGAGCAGAGAGGATGCATGAGCCTTGGGAGCTGCTGCCCAGAAGGCCAGGAGCCTGGGCGTGGCTGCACTGGCATCTGCCCACACTTCTATTACAGGTAACTAGCCAAAACGCACTCCAGTGTGGTGATGGGGGCGGACGGGAAAGGGGCAGGAGCCCCGAAAGACGCTTGCAACTCCAGGGAGCCTCTTGGCTTACCTAGTCTGGCTCCAAACCCCCTGTGCCAGCATGGTCGAGTCTCTTCCACTCAGGTGATGGGGGCAGGGGACTCTGTGGTCTCTGAATCCTGTGGACACCGCCAAGGGCAATTCAGCCCTCCCCAAGTGACACCCCACTCCTAGGTTCTGATCTGAGACAAGCCCCTTGGCCCCAGGGAGGCCAAGAACAGAGTCCTCTCTTAAGTCTTCTGGTCAGGCGCTCCCCCTCCCCAGGAGCCTGAGGTTCTGGGAGGGGGTCTCTGGGTCAAAGACGGGTGTTCTGGACCTGGAGGAAAACTGAGCTGACAGCCTTAGCAGCAAGGATTGTGGAGGGGGCTGCTGGGCGGGCTTCATGACCCTGAACTGGCCTTGACAAACCTCTCCCTGTGTGCTTTGGAGTGAGCCCCTGACAGGTGCTGTGCGTTCCAGTGGCCACAGGCCTGGTGGGTAGGGTGGAGTTGGGGGGGGGCTGGCTGGTGTGGGTGACAGGGGCCTGCAGAAGGCAGGGCTGGGTAGGGAGGGGGACTGGGGGTGCAGGTGTGGTGAGAGCTGATGTGGGCTCACCAGGCAGGGGTCTTTGGAAGGGGAGGGGGATGCACAAGGGGAAGGGGATGCCAGGGGGGAGGGGTGGTGGGTCCAGGGAGGGGGAGGGTTGTGCCTGGCTGACCCAGCAGGCAGGGGCCTGCAGGGGGCCGGGGGGGGGGGGGGGGCAGGTGGGCGGGCTGGGGCTGCATGAAGCTGACCGGGCTCCGAGTGGAGGGGGTCCTTGGGGGATGTGGGCGGGGCCGCTCTCCCGCTGACCCCGCAGGCGGACGTGTGTGGGAGATGGGGGTGGGGTGGGGGTTCTTGGGGATGCAGACCGCGGATGGCTCTGCTGACCCTGCGGGCGGGGGTCTGCGGGAGGCGGAGCCCGGGGCGGGGCGGGGGGGAGCGGGCGCGGCGCGGGCGCGGGCTGAGGGGGCGCTGGCGTGTGCCCGCAGGCAGCCGGGCGGCAGGGACGGCGGCCGCGGGGACGGCGAGCGCCCGGACACCGGCAGCTTCAAGATGAGCGACCTGGACACGGAGGTGCTGCCCTTGCCGCCGCGGTACCGCTTCCGGGACCTGCTGCTGGGAGACCCGTCCTTCCAGAACGACGACAGGTAGGGGCGGGGGTCGCCGTGCGCTCGGAGCTGTCCGCGGTGCTGAAGTCCGGCGCGCCGCCCGCTGCCCTTCAACTTTTCCCGGGTTTCCCGGGCTTCCGGGCTTCCGGGCTTCCGGGCAGGGGAAGTTTCGGTGGGGGCTGGGCGAGGGGGGCGCGCATCTTCCTGCAGGGGGCCCGGGGATGGGACGGGGAGCTCTGCACTGGGGAGTCCTCCCAAAGACCGCCACCGGCCTGGCCTCCCCGCTGCGCGTGCCTGCCCCCACCCCACTCCAAGCCCGGCTGGCTTGGGGGACAAGGCCAGGGCCAGAAGCAAGCCGGCGGCCGAGCCCGGGAGTCTGGCTGAAGGCCGGTGTCCTCCAGACTCTGGCTGCGGCCGTTTATTCTTAGCTAAGGGAGCTTCTTTCAAGCCCCTGCCGTGGTCGCTTAGGGAGGGTGACCACGGTCCCTCACCTTCAATTCTCCTGGCTGGAGAAAACCAACATGAGTCTTTCAGTTAGAAACCTGCAGAACCAGCTCTTGGGAATAATTCGTACACCAGGAGAGCTGGCAGGAAGCTGGAAGAAACGTTGCTTTTCTCTGCCTTTTCCCCAAATAGCTGTCTTGGGTAAACACCCGGCACTTAAGCTCCGTCAGCCTCAAGGGAGGCGCTTTTCCACCCGCCTTCACTGCAAGCGCAGGGACTCAGCGGCAGAGCCTGCAGCGCTGTGGAAGGAGCTGGCTCTCCTTGCTGGGTGTGCCGAGCCGCCCTCCATGGCCCCGGGGCACCTGCAGGTCCCTCCCCGCCCAGCCGGGGACCAGCTGGGCGAGGTCCAGTGTCCCTCCCACGGTGCAGCCGTTGGCATCAGCACCTAGCGCACACAAGTTGAAAGGGTCGGACTCAGACTGAGCCCCTGGGATGATCGTTTGCAGAAGCTGACCTGGGAAAAGTCAGATTTATGAACAAGGTCAGTGTGTAAGGACGGTGAGGAGCTGCCAAAGCATGTGGAAAGGGGTTTTAAGACCGCTGTGCCCACCGCCGGAAGCAGAGCGTCCCATCTGCTTGCATTCTCATCGGGAGGAGAGCCGAGCTGACCCCGTCTGCCCACTCACCGTCAAGGTCAAGAGTTCAGTAGACGGGCTTCCCGCTCCCTGGTTCCTCTTGTGGGACTGAAGGTTGTAATGACAAGCCCACCCAAGAGCACACACAGGGAAAGTTTCACATCCCTCTCTGGGGAGACAGAGGGGTCAGGAGAACTCTGCCTGTGGCCAGGGCGCTCCTGCCCTCCTGGAACACAGAGCTGGACCTGCATTCTCAGCATCTTCCTAGGGCAACACCAGCCCCTCAGCACCTGCTTCCCTGGGACTCCGTCAAATCTTGAGAACAGCAGCCCCAGAGATTTTTTCCAACGTGGGAAGGAATGGCGTCTGTCGCCCGGAGAAGGCCGGGGGCCTCTGGCTGTGTCGGTAAATGCCAGCGTCTGCGGTTGGCATAATTTAAGCCACACATCCCTCTGCTTTCAGGAGTGGGTGGCAGAGGTCTTCTCCCTGCTTGTCCCAGAGAGGAGGCACAGGGCCTTGGTGGATGTGGCTGGCCCTTGGAGGGTCCACGGGGCTCCTGGGTGGGGAGGGGGCCACTGGTTTGCACCTCTCCTGCTGGGTTCCAGGTGATGCTACCCCTGCTTGCTTGGAGACCGGAGGGGAGCCTGGGAGGTGCGGTGTTGGCTGCCCAGGGTTCCAGGAGCAGCCAGCTGGGGTGGGGGGCACTGAGGAATGGGCACGGTGGCGACCTGGAGGGATCTTTCCTCTGCCCCCTGCCAGCCACTGTGCCAGGAGCACAGTGAGAAGAGCTTTGTTTTCAAACTTTTTGGTTCAGGTGTGGCTTTGTCCCTCTTGTGAACCCCTCATGCTCACAGGCTATGCTCCTAGGTCTTACTGGGGCCAGGGTTGTGTTTGGAGGTGGGGCGGCTGAGACCGGCTGAGACCCCCATCCGTCAGGACTCACAAGTAGGGAGGCCCAGCCTGGGTCGCAGCTGACAGTCCTAGCTCAGGGAGGAGGAGCCAGGGAATCCGGGCTGCTGGAGGCCACTTCCTGGATGCCTGGGATATGGGCCCCTAGAGTTTCTACCTCTGTCCCTTTCTCGTCCTCAGTGCCTATGTCCCCTCCACCATCACTGATTCCCAAGGTGGAGGATGGAGGCAGGCTTCTGCCCAGCCCGGCGGTCCCCTTCTGCATGTATAGAAACCTTGTCAGGGTGTTTCCGGGGGCAGGGGCCTGGCATGGGGTTCTGGGACTGCAGGCTGTCCCCCAGCACCATGAGGCTGGGGGCTCTGGCGGACCCCACCCAGAATTATCCTGGAGCCCTTTCCCTCCCCCCAGCCCTCCACCTGCAGCCCCCAGGCCCCAGGGCAGGCTCTGTGGGGTGAGCTGTGATTTTCTGCCCTGACTCTTGGCAGGCTGCGAGTGGGCAGGAAGGGCTGTGGGCTTCCTGCTCTCCGGAGAAATAAAGCCACCAGCAGTGAGTCACTGCAGCCTCACAGCTGTGGCCTTGGAGGGAGGGAGGGACTCAGCCCACGTGGGTCAGGGAGGCTGCTTCGGCCTCTCTTGGGGGGTAGGGGGAGCCGGGTGGGGGGGGAGGGCAGAGCCAGAGCTCACAAAACTTCCAGGGACCAGCTGAGGTCTTGGGGTGACCTTCACCACTGCCTGCAGGGCCAGGTCTTGAGGTCCTGGAGAGCAGGACTCTGCAGAAGTGCCCCTGGCCAGGCCTGGGGCTCGGGACTCCCCGCTCCACCTCCTGCTGCCTACCCCACCCCCCAGTTCTGCAGCTGACCCTCCCGCGCACCTGGCCACCTGAGCACGTGGCACTAGCATCCTGGGGGACAGACTTAGGGATCTGAGTGCTTCACAGCTGGGGGCCACAGGAAGGGGTGATGACAGCCCCAGTCACCCCGCAAACAGCACTGTGATGAGACAGCAACATGGGTGGGGGCTTTTGTCATCATAAGTGTTTCTCTGCCTCCTGTCCTGGAACACAGATGAGAGGCTTTCCGCCCTGCCTACCCCCAGGCTCAGGGAGATGCAGGTGCGCTCTGTACCCTGAGGTACAGGGGGACACGGGGACACCACCACCTTGTCCCCACGAGGAGAACTGTGGAAAGGGCTGGGGTGGGGAGAGCCACAGGTGAAGGCAAAGGGCCTGGCATGTGGCCATCTCCTGGCCTGCGTGTCCCTGATCAGCTGCTTTCCACAGCTGCCTGCCGGGCGGAACCCAGCCTGCGGGGTGGGGGGTGCAGCTGGAGGCAGTGTCAGCGGGCGGGGGGGGGCACCAGGTTGCTGCAGGAAGGACGAAGAGGCCAGGACTCCAGGGAACCCCACTGGGCTGTTGGTCTCTGCTCCTCTGACAACAGAGGAGGGAGCTGGACTTGCTTCTCTGGAGTCGAGCAATGCCAAATATTATTTCACACAACAAACTGGGAAGTGGGAAGACAGGCAGTCCTGCGCTGCTGGAGCCTGGGGTGGGGTGCGGGGGCTCGAGCACAGACCCCCTGCCTGCCCTGCGGCAGGGTGATTGACAGTCGGGGCTCCCGGGGCAAGAACTCCCCAGCTCTTGGTCCACTGGGGACCCTCAAACCCAGGTTTTGGGTGCGGAGAGGAGCAGGCAGGGCTGGGGTCCCTGCGGGAGGCGTGCCCCTTCCCCTCCGCTGAGCAGAAGGGACTCAGGCCCCCGCAGCAGGGGGTCAGAGCCCCTGAGCTGTAACTGTTAGTAAGTGGGCATTGCTGAGCCCCATGGGAGAGGCTGCCAGCGCAGGTGGATCTCAGTGTGGCCGGGTCAGAACCGCCCCAGGCTGCTCCCGCTCCAGGGCCCTTCCCCTCCCTCTCTTCCCCCCCTCTTTCTCTCCCCGGGGCTCCAGCAGATGCACAGGCTTCAGAGCGGGACACTGTCCCTGCTCACTGGCACAGGATCCAGGACTCTCCCGAGAGCCCAGGAGGGCAAGCACCACCGGGGATCTTTGCTCTGGAGGGGGTCCGGGGAAGATTGGGGGCCGTGAGGGAGGCCGTGGGGACAGCAGGCTAGCCCGAGTTTTGCACGTGGGGGTTCCCTGCGGATGATGAACACAGAGGGCCCTGTCACAGTAGAGGAGGACCAAGGACCATGGATGTGCCCCCGCCCATGCCGGCCAGGCTGAAGGGGTGGCTGGCTTGGCACCAGAGGAGCTCACTGCTTCGCGCCGGGTCCTTCCTGTGTGGGGCTACCGGGCTCAGACCTCCGGGGGCCTGCCTCCTCCTCTGTGCCGTGACTCATGGGCAGGGCTGGACTGATGGCTCCATAGTCAGGGTGGGACAAGGTGGGACCCCCGCTCTGCCCCAGCACCTGCTCCTTGCCCTGCTCCAGCTGGCGGCCTGGGTTCACTGCAAACATGTAGACTTCGGAGGACGCGCCAGCCAGGGAAACGGCCAGGGCCCAGGCTGGCGGGGCCCAGGGAGGGAGTATTCTTGCCACCTTCAGGACCTGTGCAGTAGGACTGGGTGGGCTCCGGACAGGGGGGACATGGGGCTAAAGCCAAACCCCTCAGCTCCCCCCAGAGACTCCGTTCAACCAGCACAGCCACTCCTGCAGAGCCCGTCACCCCTGGGAGCGGCTGTTCCTGCCCCCGGCGCCTGCCTGCTGCCCACCGGCCTCTCTGATGGACCCCCCGTCTTCCTCCCTCGCTCCCTGGCTCTGACCTGAAATCCCTGTGCCCCCAGCTGCCCATCGCACCTCTATCCTGCCTGAGCCCCAAGGCCCACTGGCCCATGCACAGTCTGGGCAGCTTCTGGCTTCACGCTGTCGGGCCGTGGCCCGGGCGCTGGCGTGCGGCCCCTGGAGCTGATGCTGGATGCCGTGAAGCTGCTCCAGGGACGCGTCCGTCTGGGGCTCACTGCAGCGCTGCTGCGCCATCCAACCAAGGAAGAGCCAGTGGTGGGGCCAGGTTCGGGCCAATTCCCGGAGCTTTAAGGACCTTTAAGGGAGTAAAATTGGT